GAATCCTTCAGAATAGCGTAACCACGGCGTATCTTTTATTAAATCACTAGATTACACTAGAATACGCAGGTTACGCTTTTACGCCTCATGTGACGGCACCCTAAGTTACACAAAGGACTAGTTTATTGGGAATGACTCCCGTGTACAGAGCTCGACCGATCTGATACACTTCTCGAAGGAGAGTGCCGGCTCTCTCGGCTCGCGTGCCAGAGTATCCACATGCTTTCTTCCGTGCGCGCGCATGTGCGCTTATCGGACCGCTTGCTCGATGCTGATGGCAGCAGTAAACAGGGACGATGTGGATGACGTCGCTCGCGCTTGCGCTGTCAGCTGTTCGTACGTTTCTTACAATATAAACTGATCACACTCACGTCATGGCGACCGCCATATTCTTGCAAACGATCAGGCCGGATTCATAATAGGTAATTTAAGCTCTAAGCCTTAATAAATTGCCCAATCACAATCAAGTATGAGAAGAATAGTCGATTGTGATTAGTCAATTTTTTAAAGCATAGGACTTAAATCACCTATTGTGGACCCGGCCTAAATAACACACTGGAAAATTTCTACACTTTTCATATTCCTTGAAGCCAAACTAAGTATTGAAAATTTAGCTCCTTTTATTCTGATTATTCTTTAATTTTTAATGTATAGTCCTATATACATAGATTTATATATGTATAAAGAAACTTTACTATGTATATACAAGAAAGTGTAAAATAATGCAAGCCAAATGATTAGACGTGTTGTATCATAAATTTTCATCTGTAAAAATAAATCATCCTTCTCTTTTTTGACTTGCTTGATGCCTGAATATCATTTTTAGTATTTAAATGTTTTCTCCAATACAATTAAAATTTTGTAAGTTGTTCTTATGTATCTGATCTATCTTTTATAATTGCGAATGGTCATCAGGCCTCTTGGTCTAGGGGTATGATTCCTGCTTTGGGTGCAGGAGGTCCCGGGTTCAAATCCCGGAGGGGCCCTGCTTTTTTGTAAATAAATTGTAATTTTTTTTATGTTCATTAAAAAGGAAGTTATGCAGAATATAAATTATTGATATAATACAGTGTTCCGTACCGAGTGAATCATTGATTTATAGTGTATTTTTAACGTCATTTAAAGACGACTCTTTGGGCGCGGAACATCCTGTATATTAATATAAATAATATAAAGTCAACTCTGTATAGCACACCGTTCTGTTATTTAATATTATCATAAAAATTCTATTAAATTATATTGATACTGAAAACTGAAAGAAAAGAAATTATTATGTCTAAACGTATTTATAATTCATCGAATTATTATTAAGATTATCATATAATTAAAAATGCAGAATTAAAATTATGCCCGCATAAAATATTAATTTTGAGTTTATTTTATGTTATAACAACAATTTTTCGGGAATAAAAATTATATGTATATATGTATATAATTTTAATTTTTGCTAGCCACATCATTCTTTAATTTTTGAATTTTTATTATGTACATAATTTTAATTCCTGAATTTTTATGTACATAATTTTAACTTTTGAATTTTTTTATGTACATAATTTTGACTCCCAAATTTTCATTATGTACACATAATTTTAATTTTCGAAGTTTTATTATATATACATAATTTTAATTTACCATATTTGCCATTTTATGTACACATATAATTAAAATTCTGTACATAATAGAAATTCAGGAATTAAAATTATGTGCATAATAAAAATTTGGAAATTAAAATTATGTACATAATAGGAAACTCAAAAATTAAAATTTTATATATAATAATAAAAATTCAAGAATTAAAATTATGTACATAATGAATATTCAATAATTAAAATTATGTACACAATAAAAATTCAAGAATTAATCCCTAACACCACACATATCCCGAAGACGTTTAGAGAACATCCTGAGGATGTTCAATGTTCTCTGAATATCTTTTGAATATGTTGTGCTATTAGGAAAAATTATATGTACATAATAAAAATTAAGAAATTAATGTGCCTTGTGCACATTTCGTTTATTTCCAACGAAAAATAAATTTTCGTTAGAAATGTACACAATAAGGAACATCCGCGTATGGCTCTTTAAGCCTTTCTTGTATTTATTATTTAATATTACAGAGCCTTGATATATTTCTTAGTCTTTAAGAAATTAAAATTATATATAAGTACATAATAAAAATTCAGGAATTAAAATTAGGTACATATAATGGAAATTCGGGAATAAAAACTATATACAAAATATAAATTCGAGAATTAAAATTATATGTATATTGGAAATTCGGGAATTAAAATCATGTATGTACATAATAAAAATTCTAAATATATATATATGTTTTGACCTAAAAATTTCTTTTGATTAAAAATTTTATAACAAATCTAAGATTAAAAATAGCATAGTAGCACATAATTCTAATTTTTAATTTTTATTATGTCATAGCATATAATTTTCATTCACCGAAATTCCATTAAGTCACGTGAAATAATTTTAATTTGTGAATTTTTATTATGTCGTAACATAATTTTAATTTTAATTCATTGGATTTTAGTATGATATACTTTACATAATTTTATATTCCTGCAATTATTATATATGTTACGACGTAACAAAAATATATTAATATATCCCAAACAGAACAAAGTCACAATAATATCAAAATGATATCAAAGTGGAATCATAATGATCAAAATATGACTATTATTAATCATTATGATGTCATTTTGATATCATTTTGATATTATTGTGTCTTTTTGTTCTGCTTGGGATATCTCTCATAATAATAAAAATGAATTAAAATTATGTCTTGACATAAAAGAGAGGAATTCCACATAGAATATAGCCTTTTCTGTGTATTTTTTGAATTCATATATTTTATATGTCAAGATATAATTTTAATTCATTTTTATTATGTTGTGACACAATGAAAATGGTTTTGGAAAATATATCTACTTCAGTTTAAATCTATATTTTATTGAATTTTATATATATTAAATTAAAAAATCTTATTAATAAATATATATAGCAAAACAACGTGCTATATAACTCTGCAAAGCCAATTTGCTTATATTTATGTATAAAATTGACACACTTTCTAATAGTTATAATTATCTAGTTTTTATTAATTATTTTACTCTTAATTTGTTTAATTTTAAAATTACTGAAAAAACCAAATTTTTTATCTTGTTTAATTATTTATTAGTATGCCAATAAAAATATCTAATTGTAAGATAAAGCCCTGTGCATAGAGGAAATATAAAACAGCCATAATAGAAATAAATATTAAATATTAAGAATAGAAATTATTTTATTTCAAAATAAAGAAAATAAAATAGAGTAACATATATATACAATCTTTAATATACATTGAGAATTAAAACTAAGGAATAAACATGACGAAATAGATAGATAATTTATTCAATCAGCTTATTAGCCAAGAAGGGACTTGGATTACATCAATTTTCTACCACACTCATACATCCATACCTTTCTATACTCGCAGAACCCTCATAGTGCATAATAATTTACAAGATAGTCGCAAGTACCAAAATACCAAAGTACAAAAAATTACAGATACAAAATACATAAAATACATATCACATAAATATATAGATAAATTACAATACAAATACCAAAGTTACATATTCAGTCTTGTATTCTTACACTCTGACTATTTTATTATTATCACAGATTCTTTTCTTTATTGCCTCTTTTTTCTTCTATAATCTTTTTAATATTATTGCTTTCTTATCGTCTAAAATATCATTAAACATTCTTGTAATCCTATATGTTAATTTCCTCTAAATCATTGACCCATTCTCTCGCTACCACACATTCCTTTACATAATGTTCAACCTTATCCCATCCGCAGTTACAGAATTTACATATGTTACTCTTGTCTTCTAGCCAATACTTATTACAATCTTCGAAATTACCGCATCTTAACTTAACTAGAGCTCTTGTCTCATCTCCATACTTATACCTATCTAACATTTCTTTTCTCAGAAAATTGGGCTTTGTGTTCTCTTCACCTAAAGATCTCCTTATATCTTTTATTGTACTTTGCCTCTCTAATTCTCTCATCCTCTGTTTGTCTTTGTATGTCTACCTCTCTTTCCCTTATACTACTTACTATATCCATCTCCTCTTGTCTCATATCTTCTATTGCTTTTAGACTCCAGCCTTTATTATTAAAATACCTTTCCTTTTCTCTACTATAATAATCTTTTTTATTCAGTTTTTCCTTTTCTAACTAACACTTTTTTACATAGTATCTCTCCTCTTTTTCTCTAACCCTTTGATCAAACTTCATAGCTCTAATTCCCCATTCGTATTTTAATTTTATCAAACCTAACTCTCTCTGTATTATATATCTCGGTGTACAAAAATCTAATCTGAATAACCATCTTACGTAGTCCATCATTATTTTTTCTAACTCTTTCTTTTCTTCCCATCCCCATATTTCCACTCATCCATATGCCATTACACTCTGTACCAGATACCTAAATGGCATCCATCTCCTACAGAAATCATCCCTACAAATTCTCTCACCTAATCCCCATACTCTGTTTGCTGCTATCCTACCTTTCCTACTTAGCTCTTTAATGTGATATCTTTATAGTCTCCTTTTTCGCTAAACGTAAAACCTAGGTATTTGAAATTTCTTACCTCTTCTATACTTTTCTTTTCCCATTTCCATTTACCTTTACCTTTATCTATGTCTATGTCTTTATCTTTATCTTTATCTTTGCTTTTATTTTTACCTTTACTTTTATGTTTATATTTAGCCCTTTTTGTTTTATTAAATATCACAATTTTAGTCTTTTCTACGTTTAACACTAAATTCCTTACCTTTAAAAAAACCTTTCAGAGTACACATCATATCCTCTAATGTCTCTTTATTCTTTGCAAGTAAAACTGTATATGTTATCCGCATATGCAAGCAACCATATCCTCTCTTTACTTAATTCTACCCCGCCTATACTTCTATTACTAAGTTTACAATCCTAGTCCGCAATATATAAGTTGAAGAGAATAGGACTCAGTACGCACCCTTGCCTTACACCTTTCCCTATGTTAAAGCTTTTGGTTACTCCATCCATTGTTCTGACTGTCGCTTCAGTGTCTTCATATATCTTCCTAATTCTCCATATCAAGTCCTTGTTCAATCCTTTATTCGTTAATATATTCCACAACCTTTCTCTGTCCACGTTGTCAAACGCTGCCTTTAGATCAATAAACAATGCATATACCTCTTTTCTTCCCTTTTCTTATTCTTTATTCCTTTGTATGATGTGACTCAATACATAAATGTTATCCATGGTTGACCTCCCTTTTCTGAAACCAACCTGACTTTCTGATAACATGCCTTTTTCTTCTACCTCCTTATCCATTCTGTTTCTTATTCTTTCTGTATATATCTTGTATGCCGTACATAAAAGTGAGATCCCACCGTAGTTTTCTACACTCTCTGTATCCCCTCGCTTATAAAGTGGTACAATCAGTCCCTTTCTCCAGTCCTCTGGTATAACCCCTTCCTTCCAAATTCTTCTTAACAAGGTGACCAGTCCTTTTTCAATTACTTTACCTCCGTATATCCAGGCTTCCATTGGTATCCCGTCGATTCCAGTCGCTTTTTTTAATTTCATCTTCCTAATTGCCCTTAAAATTTCCTCTTCTTCCAGTTCCTGTTCCACTTCCTGTTTCTCTTCCTTTTCATTTTCAACGTTTCTGTTATCTGTATCAATATGATTTTCTTTGTTTACAACTTTATTGTTTCCTTCTTTCAATTCTTCACCTCCTAATAAATTCATCATAAAGTGCTTTCTCCAATCTTCTTTTCTTATGTTATTCTCCACTTGTACTTTCTTACCTCTTTACTTATTTATAAATTTCCAAACATCCTTCTCGAATCTCAAACTCCTTAACTCCTTTTCTTGTTCGTCTCTATGTTATTTCCTTCTTTCTTCTAGGTATTCCCTAAATTTCTTTTTCTTTTCTATATATTCTAATCTAGAGCTTTTTCCTCTTCTCTATTTACTGTATACTCTCTTTATTTCCCTTTTTTTCTTCGTGCAGCTTCTGTTCCACCAGTCCTTGTATCCTATTTTCTTTTTCCTCTTCTTCCCTTTTTTGAATCATCATTGAACTCAGAATCGTATCCTTTAGCGAAATCCAAATCTCTTTTATAGCTGATGATTCCAATGAGTCATGCCAACCGTTTTCCTCTGTGTTCTCTCTATATTCCTCCCTGGATTCCTCATCCCAGCATATTATCTGTCTTTCCTCTTGAGTCTTTTCCTTTTCATTTTCGCCTTGTTCTTCTTTCCCGTTCTCATATCCCTTTTCGAGACTGCTTCTTTCCTGTTCTGCTTCCTTTACCATCTCCAACGCCCAGTAAGCAAGACATATTTAATCAACATTTTATAATGTTGATTTTATATAAATTTTCTAAATGTTATGATATAATGTTTTATATATATATATATATATATATATATATATATATATAAATATATGTTTAAAATATTATTAATAAATATTCTAAAAAATATTTTAACTGATGTTTTATAAATGTTTTAAAAATATTATTTACATAATAACATATATTGCTCAAAATATTAATAAAATATTTTAAAAACGTTAATTTCAACATTACCGAAACCTCTAAATCGATGTCAAAGTTTGTTCATAATGATGTTGCATACAATGTTAAAAACTATATACTTGCCAACAAATAACGTTGTAGCAATGATTTTTTGCTTACTGGGCGGTGGTGGTCTGAATCCACCCTATCTTCAACTTTAAATTCTAAAACTTTATCCTGTATATCCTCATTTACAAATATATAATCTATAACTGTACTGCCTCTAACCCCTACGTATGTGTATTCTCCTTCCCAATCTCATCTAGTCTTTCCATTCAAAATACTAAAACCTCTCGCTTAAACATGACGAAATATTTTAAATGTTAAATTTATAATTCATAATCATGTATAGTGATCATGAGTATCTCGATATTAAGTTAAGAATGTGAATAATATATATGTATATATATATATATATATATATATATATATATATAGAACATAAATATTAATCTTCCTTTCTCTCGACCAATAGAGCCTAACGCGATGTTATTGCGACAATTAAGAAAGAAAGAAATTTTAGAAACTAAGGAATTTGAATCCTATGGTTGGGATCTCAAAAATTCCCCTTGTTCTTTCTCTTAACATCCCCTGTAAAGAAAATAGGCGAGAAAAATATTGGTCCGAAAGTCGGCTGAATCGGGAATCGAACTCGAGACCTTCCGCTTGCCTATAATAAGGGGAATTTTTGAGATCTCAATCATAGGATTCAAATTCCCTATAAAATTTCTTTCTTTCTTAATTGTCGCAATAACATCGCGTTAGGCTCTATTGGTCGAGAGGAATGAAGTGTAGAGTGTGGTTTTACAAATTAAAAGAGCTGACTTATAAGTATTCTTATTATAAATATTAATATAAAGAAAAACTATATATATATATATATATATATATATATATATATATATATATATATATGAATAATAAATAAAGAAAATCATTTATTATAAAATTATATACATATTATATATATTATTTATAAATAATTCGATTTTTGCAAAATACATATATTATAGTTTATAAAAATACAGAAAACATTCTCAAGAGAAAATTGTAAAAAAAAATATTAAAAATTTGATGCTCCATGCACAATTATAAGACATAATGAAAAATTATAATTTTCGCTATCCAACGCACAAACATATCCGCGTGTGGTTTTCATAGCCCGTTTATTTCGAGTTCATATTTAGAAATTATTTAATTTTGAACGTCTAAAAATTTATATTTTTTTGTAGAGCCTATTATAATATGAATTTTAAAAAATTTAAATAAAATATATCTTAGAGTCATAATTAAATCACTAATCTAGAGTCATAATTAAACTACTATTTTATAATTAAAAATTTTCCTAATCTGTTTTTAAGAAAATGGAAGATTTACTTCATTTTTAAGGATCCATACAGCACAAAATATTTTAAAATCTTTTAAAAATATTTTTTAAAAGATAAAATAATTCTCAAAAATATTTTTAAAATGTTTCTATGTTTTCGCTTTTTTATGTTTAAAAAGTATTTTTAGAAATATTTTATTTGAATATAGATTTAAACTAATATTTCAAAAATATGTATACATATATCAAATAATTAAGGAAATATTATCTGGGCGATAAAGAAGAATATTTTTAAAAATATTTTAAAAGTTTTTTAAAATATTCTAAAAAATTTTATGACAAAAATTTTTTAAATTATTTTAAAATATTCCTAAAACCATTTTAAAATGTTTTTATATGGGGAGGTTCAGGTATTCGCAGGGGAAGGGAAGATGAAAATTTGGCAACAGCGCACTAACATTTGAAGTTGGCATATTGCTTTCCGCTTATTATTATGTTATTGCTTCTGTCAAACGTTAATTTGACAGACTTAATTAACCTTGGTAAAAATGGAACAGTATATATAGATGGGAAGAAAAATGTGTAAGCAAAAAAGTATATGAGTGTCTAAAAATCAGAATTGAAAATGGTAAAAAAGAGAAAAAAAATTGTTAAAGAAAATATTGAAAAATCCTCGCACATATATTGTACAAGGACATCGAATAATCGATATTGATATATTTTATGGCTGTTGCCATCATTTGCGTTTATTTCTAAACAGACGAAAAATCAGGCATTTAATTTTTAATAATTAATTTCTCTGCAAAATGTGCGGTAACCTCCCAAGTAGCAAAGACGTCATATGACATCAGACGACGTCATATATGACGTCTATTTTTAATCATTTTTAGTCTATGACGTCAGCGACTAATAATGGTCGTTTATAATACGTCATTTTTTAGACTAAGTTCCTTAATTTATCGCTATGCGACGCATATGTCCTCTATCTCACATGTAAGTTTTAGTCAGATAATTATATAAAGCTAGCAAAAAGAGACTGTTAATAAAAGTAAAGTATCATATATAAGTATATTCTTCTAATATAAAATGTACTCGGCAACAGAAGAATGATTTTTTAACAAATAAATTTACATAAATGTGCGTAAATTTATTTATTATAAGGCATTTTTCTGCGTTGTTGAATATATATACAAATTAATTCTTTTTGAGTTTGCCGTATTATCTGGGTATACTTCAAATTTTTATATTTTACATTATCGAATATATATTTATATATTTGTTGAATGAGATTTCTTACTATGGGTTATAACTAATACTATATATATATTAATTGTAAAAATTTCATCAAATTTAAGTAATATTCGTCATATTATGCCATCAATAATAAGACGTCAAAATGACGTCTCATGGATGTGACATTTCGTTGTCATTTTCAGTCTCATAAAACCTAACTGGGACGTCTATTAGTCTTTTTGTGACCAAAATTGGCCGTCATTTTGCTACTTGGACTATCATTGTTTTACTCATTTACATATTTGTAAATTGTTAAATTATATGTGCATATTTTTTCTTATTATTATTTGCATTTTTTCTTGCATTATTTCATTCTTTTCATTCTGAAGTTATATACACTATGTCATTTTCCATATAAATCTATGCTAAAAAATACACAATTTTTTAGTCAATTTTTTTCAAAACGAGACGGTGAAAAATTCCCATAAAATTCACATAATTCTATGTTGCATTGCAGACCAATATATCAAGAGACACGGTAGTGTCTCGCGACCAGTTAAGGGCGTAGCCGAGACACCGTGTATCTTAACGCGAGTCGGACATTTGAGTCTATTATAAATTTCGAATCCTCAATAACGGCTGAAGCAATCGAGTTTATACTAGACTTAATCGATAGATTGAGTTCGAATTATATAATAAAAGTGTCTTTATTTCTGCTCTACGTGATTTGTAAGCAGAGATATATAAATGCAAAGTCGAAATATGAAAAATTTCTTTTAAGAAACGTCTCCGTCATCAACGACCACGCAAACATAGTAGTATCGTGCTATACGTATTCACACGTATACAACACATGCGCACACGTACACAACACATGCAATGATGCATGTATTGGAAATGTCCATTTCGCACGTTTTACAACAGACGGCGATAGTATGTCGCTCCATGATCCATGATGTTAGGTATATGTGTCAGATCAGATGTCAGATTTGATGACATGTAACCTCTTTGCATGTAACATGTATGTAGGTTACATTCCCTACAATGTCATGTTACATATTAGTTGTAATTATATAGAATCCACGCGTATGGAAGAAATGGATATTCTACTAATCGACTCAAATTTTTGCCAAGATGTATATAAGCAAATAAAGCAAATGCAAAAGCTAAACGATAATGCTCTCGATTTTAATTCTATATTAAATAGATTAGAACTCGCGACAGTAGATATGTATAATAAACTTTATTCACTAAGTAATATCATCAGACAAGTCCAATTACATCAAGAGCCTTCTGCTGACATTAATTCAGTGGTATCTTTTTTTTATTGAACAATTATATTATTCAATTTATTATATTATATTCTTTAGTCTTGCTGCGTTTGCATGATTCTGCAATACATAATTAACTAATAGGAACTACATCTGTTTTATAACTAATATTTTTTCAGCGTGATCAGGTCACGTCATGCATTGCAAATAATCAACGATTGTTGAAAGAATATAATTTGTCTGCTGAGAAATTTGATCATATTTGCTTGATTGCTACAAAATATAAATACGCGGGAAAACTTACAGGTTTTACTAGTAAATATGTATACACTCTGCTATCACCGAACCATGCTAGCATATATGTGGCAAATTTTTGGCTGCACTTAGAAATGAATTTCAGTAGGCCAACGAAAATCAGCATCAATTGTAAAGGAGTGAGAATTGAAAATTAATTATATTAAAATGACCACGATTGTAATTGACTTAATAATAACGAATATTTAATTACAACAGAATGTGACAAGATTATTAAATTAATCTCTATGATATTTTAAGGGAAACAGGATGTACAATATACAACTTTGTTTAATAAATATATATATTCTCTTAAGACGGAAAAGTATAAAATGTTGTAACAAACGTTTTTGAATAATTATGTATAATACATAATACATATCATTATACAAAATTTTTGCGTATTCCTTTATTCACTATAATATAGTTTCTATTGTTGAAAAAAGGTATTATTCAGGCTTATGTGTCGAGTTTTGAGAAAAGAGCTGTTACAAACAAAATTTGTGATCACTTTAATATTTATGAAAAATAGCAATACACATACATGCACACAAGTTCACATTTAATTTTTTTACGATTTACTATTCAACGTTATGTTCGTCTTTTTACATTG